ATCTGTGAACAATGATAATTTCACTTCTTCCTTTCCTATCCTTATTCCTTTTGTTTCTGTTTTATCTAATTGCTCTAGCTGTTTCCAGAACTATATTGAATAGGGCATATGCATCTTTATAGCAACACAATTCACAATAGCTGAGCTTTAGAAACAGTCTATATGTCTGTTAAGAGATGAATGGATAAATTGTGATATGAATGAATTATACATAAATAATTTATACATGCAATTTTATTCAGCCATAAATAATGAAATCATGTCATTTGTTGGAAAGGAGATGGAACATGAGATTACCATGTGTTATGGTTCAGATCTAGAAATGACCACCCGCTCAGAGGCAGGCCTTTGGAAGGTGACTGGCTCAGGGGTTTGTTATACTTACCAGTGGATTCACCCACTAATGAGTTCGGTAGCTGAGTGTGCCGTGAGGAGCGGAGGCCTGGGGACAGGCTGCACTGGAGTGTGCCCTGGAAGGGGGACCTCCCTGGTGGCTCCTCCCTTCCCTCTTCCGATCCCATGACATGAGCAGCTGTCCTCCACCAGACCCTCCCCGCATCCCCTTTCTGCCTTGGAGCAGCCGACTGTGAACTGAGTCCCCTAAAATCCACTAACCCAAGTCAGCCTCCTCTTCTCTAAGTTGGGGGGCCAGGTCCTGTGTCCCAGCACTGAGAAAGCGGCTGAGACAGCATATTAAGTGAAATAAGCCCGACTCGGAATGCGAGAAATATGAAGCACTAGTAAATTCACAAATAAAACCATGGAGAAATGAAAATAAATTGCAAGGATGGCTCAGGGAAGGGGAGCAGAGGGATGAGGGAGGAAAGATGGGAGTACAAGGATTGAAAAGAATTTAAAATGATCAAGGTATGTTCTATGCATCTTCCAATTCTGCAAGATGAGTCTAGCTGTTATAATTTACAAACATGAAGTTTAAAAACTAAAGAATGAGTTCAGTCTGAGGGAAGAAACCTTGACGGTCTCATTTAAGGGAAGGTTCTGTTTACTATCTGTATATTCAAGGGCAAAAGAAGTGCAATGAATAAGCATGTGAATTACCATCAACATTTTTTGAAGTTTATTATTTTGTGTTATGGTGACCATATCACTGAAAAATACATATAACATGTAAATGTCTCACCTCAATTTCTGGGTTTAAATTTTGAAATAAACATTATCCACTCCAAACATTTTTGGTGTTCCTGCTTATTTCATCAAAGGAAGAAAGCAAGGAGGTCTGATGTGCTGCCGAATATGGGCACACTAGACACATCCAAGAAAAGGAAACGCAAAGAATTTTTTAAAATGTAAACTTTCAAAGACTTTTGCCTTTCGTGCTTAAGGGGCTTTCCTTGTAATGAGAAATAAGCAGAAAATGGTAAACTATGAATTCCTATTTCCTCTCTGTCACTCAATAGACTAAGAGCAAATGCTCTAAGACCTCTTCAGTCAGCACGAAAAACAGAGCTGATTACTTAAGAGCATCCAGCGGGAAACAGCTTGACAGGAAGTAGGCGACTCCTCTTTGGATGGGAACATTCCATCTCTCATGGTAACTGAGGCTGTCTGCATTCGTCTGAGGTTTTTTGCAGCATCCCAGCAATTTTTGCTTAACTGCTTGATTGCTTATATTTCCATCCAGCTCAAAATAGAGGGTTTTTAACTGACTTACACAACAGACACATATCATTAAGGACAAAACTGGCCTTTGGGACAGAGAAGCAACCAACAACCTAGACATTTATTTACTATCGATTTATTTCACTCACTAAATAATATATTGTTAGCTCATGATACATGGCCATAATCTCAGCATTCAGGGAGGCTGAGGCAGGAAGATCACAAGTTCAAGCTTAATCTGGGCAGATTAGTGATACAGCAAGAAGCTGCCACAAAATTATTTTTAAAAAATCTAAAGGGTTAAGGCTAAAGCTCAATGTGAAGGTCCTGGTTCAACCCCAGCACTGCACAAAATAAAGGCAGTACTCATTAATTTATTAAATGTTGTTGACCTCTACGAAATATTTTAAGGAATACAAAGATGTATTCAGCAGGATTTGGGCCGACAGGGACCTCACCATACTAGTACATACAGAATAAATGCAGACTAACAAGAGATAATAACACAACGATGTAATGTACTAAGTGTAGATACTATTAGGAATTAAGTGAATTCTTACTTAACAACAAAAACCAAATGTCCTACAAAATTTTCCCCTTTTTTTGTTTTTTTTTTTTCCAGTACCGGAAATCGAACTCATGACCTCGAGCTTGCCAGGCAGGTGCTGTACCGCAGAGCTAAATCCCCAGCCCCCAAGATTTTCCCCTTTTGTTTTTGTGCAGATATTACTTTCTAGATTGAAAGCACTGCTAGATCTTGCTGCTCTTAAACCTCGTTCATTATGTTAGTGACTATAGAGTTTTATGTCATTAAGTAGAGTTTTTATCATGTGGGATGAGCTCTTTGTGCAATGACTGGTTTTTCAGTCATTGTCCTCTGTCCTCATTTCTGCCATCAGGATTTTAGTTCATCGCCACTGTAACTTCACATGACGCAGGGTTGTTAAATTTTTATTGCGCTCTTCCAGATCAGATTAAAATGGAAAAAACATCCAAACAAATATTTATCACCATAAGGACACTGCTTAGGGTCATAGGTTACATTCCCCATCTTGCTATCAGAACCTGGGTTTGCAGTTTCTTTAAACTCCGTTCATGAAGCCTCAAGCCATGTTAGAAAAAATGTAGGATTTAAACAAACATGAATCAAATAAGCTCATTTCAAACAGGGAACCTTTAGAATGGTAACTTTAAATGTTTCTTTACTTACAAGTGAAATTAAAGGATAATTTCTCCAGTTCAAAGGAATGTAAATCTGCAGACTGGTATCTGGGAGCTGTAATATCCAGACGCGTGTTAAGGAAGACAACCACAAAGTAAGCGGTGTAATCGGTGACAGGGGACGGTAAGAACACTGCGGCACACCCACACACTGACAAGTATTTCCGACTAATCGCTGAAGCTGATTCACTGCAAACACCATCAACAGATCACAGCACTGCTCTAAAAATGAAAAAATAAAAGAGTAACACTGAATAAGGGAAAACAGATTAGCTATCTGATTCCAAAAGTATTAATCTTTGGCTTCCACCCTAAAGAGCATATTTTGTGGGCTTTGTGGGCTGAAACACAAAGCTTTTGCAAATGTGAATCATTGAAGAAAACCAAACTGTGTTTTTATTCCATTGTTCAAGGGTAAACATTCCAAAAGATCATGTTTCTCTCATATTTCAAGCACCTTAATAGAAGGAAGGAAAGACACATGCAAGCCATACAGGGCTTTGGAGGGAACCCCACGCTCTTTAAAAACCACTGTGAAACTTCAAATCAAAATCCAATTAGTGAGCTCGACACCAAGGCACACCCAAGCAGACACCACTGGCAAGCCCCGCAGACAGTTCTTGGAAATCAAGTCAAAAGAGACTAAAATAAAGAAAAATTGTCAGAAGATGATTACGCTTAAGATCCAGCTCTTGAGCTCATCTTTACCAAAGGACAAAAACCATTTTAAAAAACTGAATGTAAACTGCAAAATCATTAGGACATTTTAGTTTACCTTGAAAAAAAATCTTTCTCAAGATTAATGTAAGAAGATATTGTGAATATAATGATCTAACAGTACTAGAAAATGTTTTTTTTTAAAAAAAAAACAAACAAAAAATAAAAATAGGAAATAAAGACTTGATGATTTTACAAGAAATTTGTTATGTGAGCCTCTGGACACGAATTTCCATAAAATGGAAATAGAGCAGAAAGGAATCAGGAAACCAAACCAGAACCCAGTAAAAAGACACCGGCAATTATCTTTAAATATCTGTTACAAACACAAAAAAGAGAAACCTATTCTTCCTTCCTGGACAATAAAACATAAAAAGCTCTGTTTGGAATAAGTGAAAAAAGACAGCATTGTGAAATAATCCCCATCCAATTATCCTTAAGCATCCTCTGTCATTATAGGAGAAATGAAATCATTAGTATTTAGTCTACATGTATAAGTGCTCGGTTATGTTAAAAAAAAATTCCTGTAATTGAGCTAACCCCTAATTTAGATAATACTTTCTTATTTTACAAAGAGAAACCCTAAGATGAAAGTTCAAACTTCAATAATTTTAGCAAATTTTATGTGAAACTAAAACATATGATCAAAATAATGGAGGGTTTTTAAAAGAATGGAGGATTTCCAACATCTTAGTTGCTGAAATTTTTCAAGTATATTTCAGGGGGGCTGTTTATTCCTAATTTTGTCTTTAAGATTCCAAGGGTAGTTTTGAAATGATCTCACTCTCTTGAATGCTAAGTGAATGCATTTAATATTTAAACTGTTTTGATACAAAATATAAGAAACAGACTTCATAGTTTAAAATAGAACACTGGAAGCACCAATGATCTGAATAAGTGGGATATTATATTTAGTTAACTAAGGGAAATATTGGTAATGACATTGAGGGAAATGTGTATTTGTCTCCTTTCTTTAAAATTTATTTTAAAAATAGAAGAAGGAAAACATATTAACAAACAGACATCCATTTACAAAATAGCTTGAGAACAATACAAGCGATACTGAATTACAGACACAGTGGTAGGAAATTAACAATGGTTGTTGTATTACATATTGATATCTTCAAAGTGGTTTCTCAGGAAAACAAGTAGAGACATGCAAGACTGATCACATAAGTAATCATTAACCGTTCCTTTCTGTAAAGCGATAGAAGTCAGTAGTACAACTATGCTAGCTATCCTGTACATACATACATACATGATCTCCCCTTCTTTCTTTTCTCTTTTGTGTCATCCCAGCTGCTCCTTACTTTTGTGCAGTTTCCTTTCGTTTCACAATGTCTGTCACACCTCCTAATTTTTACTCACTCTTTCAGGTTCTTACGCTAGTGAGACAGCACGTTGCTTGCACATGCAGGTCTGATTTGTATGTGTCTCCTGAGCAAGCCCCTTTCAGCGTCCCACTCCCAGCATCCCGGAGACCAAGCTGGAACCGCGCAGAAGTCACGGCCCACAGCCTTCGGGCCCCTCCTCCTCCGGGGCTGAGGTGTGTCTCTACTCACCAAATGTTCCCAACCACTTCTATTCTTCTCTACCGTTTTCAGATCCTCACCCTTTCCCCTCACCTACCCCTCCTGTCCCATTTCATCCTTGGCAAGTGATCCTGTGGTCTACTTCGCGAAGAAAGTTGAAGCCATGCGGCAGGTACTCTGCTCCCCTGGGGAAACCTAGAAACCTGCCTGTCTCAGCCCACGGCTTTCCTCCTCACTGGTAAAATGAGGAAGGGCCTCTCGCATGCTGCACTCACTGCATCCTTCTTCACTGCTCCTGCATCCTCCCCTTGCCCACGTCTCCATCACTGATGCAGTCTCGAATGTCTCCTCCTCCGAACCTCCCCACCTCCCTCCGGCTGCTCTCTCGCTTCCCTGCGGAGGGCGACTCCTCAAAGCCGCGGTTTCACGTCCTTCCCTTTTTCCCAGCTTCCTGCAGCCTGGGCTCTTGGCGCATCTTCTCGCTGCTGGAGCTATCGAAGTGCTCCACACTGAGAAATCTAGCAGACCCTTGTCAGCTTCCATTGCACTCGAGCTTCGCGCTGGAAACACCAGAACCCCGGCAGCGATCAGCTTTCCCGCGGATGGGCGCAGTCCCGACGCCCTCAGCAGAGGAAGGAGCGCTTGGATTGGGTCCACGGTCTCCGGGAGTTCGGTCCATGGACAGGAGCGTGGTGGCAGAAGGGGTGACGGAGCACAGCTGCGCACTTCATGGGGCCAAGAGGCACAGCACCCAGGACAAGCCCCAGAGAAGGAAGGGTGGAGGGCCGACGCAGTCCCCGAGGTCACGCTCTGGGGCCACGCGGACCCCTGGAAGCGCTAGTCTACATGTCTCCCAAGCCAGGCAAGCTGGCAGCCAGGCTCCGGCGTCACAGCAGCTCCTCGTGCCGTCTGCAAACGCTTTCTCTTAGCTTCAGCGAGCCGGGATTCTCGGACCACCTCCCCGCACTCTGCCTCCGGGATCTGCCACCGCCGGCCTATTTCTTGCGCAAGCCTCCCATGTTGGGAGATGCACTCCCTCGTTCGTTGGCCCTCTTCTTATGTGAGTCCTTAGCATTAATTTGTTTTTCATAATAATAAATTCCTAGCTACCAGCGGAATGAAGAAACTGACTTTTTTTGTCTTTTTGAGACAGGGTCTCTCTATGCAGTTCAGGCTGGCCTTGAACTCACTTTGTAGCTGAGGCTGGCCTCAAACTCACAATGATCCTCCTGTCTCAGCCTCCTGAGTGCTGGGATTACAGGAATGAGCCAACACACCCGGCTAGAAACTAATTTTTTACACTACAAGTTGCGGCTCAGGGAAGCAGAGTGATTTATCCAGGCGTTAGGGAAACACTTCCTCCCCCAACTAATGCTCCCTTGTGCGGAGCCCCTCCAGAGCAGCACCAGTTTCCTCTCTGTAGCCTTACAGTCTCCTCTGCCTAGGAAGAGAGAGAGCGACCAGCGAGCCCAGCAGAAGGAAATGTGCATTCTCAGGCCCACTCGATTCTCCTCTCTCTTTGCGATTTGCTTGTATGCAGAAATCAAACATTGATCTATTCTTTCATGCCGCATATTTAAAGGGTTCTCATAGAAAGTGTCTCCCTCTCCAGGCCACCTGTGCCTCGGAGACTGTGGTAAGGGATGGAATTGAAAAGCCTCCGAGGCAAACAGACTGACTGTCAAGTTCTCCGCAGCTTTGAGGGAGAAGCTATTACTTTATTTTCCTCAACATCAGTGTTTCTGTGTTTCAACTGGTTTAGAAAATGGGGAAAGGAGCCCTTATGTGTTAATTTCTTTGTTGTTTTTGTTAATTTCTATAAAATACTTACGCTAGTACCACTTGAAAGTACAGTTAGGAATGCACATTTTAAGGTCTTTAGGATGAAACCAATTGAATTTCTACTGCGAATGGGAGGAAATCTCAATCTCTTAACCTCTCAAAATACCAGGCAAGCAGATACTGAATATTCCAAAACAAATAAGGATAGGAATGGTTGATTAACTACTGAATAAAATAAGCATGAACTCCCACTGATCATGAAGACCTGGGTAGTTACATGGAGGCATAAAACAGGGCAAAGTACTTCCTCACATAAAATATCACCAAAAATGAAGAAGGGACAATGATATTAGAAGATCACTATTAAGCATCCATCAAAGTAAATCATGGTTCAAAAGTTATCATCAAGTGCTAAAATAAGCAACAAGTGGATGAGTTCGGCGAGGAGTAGGTTATTCAGACAGGGCGGAGCAAGTGCTTGTGGCAGGATAGCTGTGACAAAGTGAAGTTTGGAATACATGGATTTTGGTTCCTTTCTTTCTTTTCTCTACCACACTACTATTGAGTATTCAGTGAAATCAAGAAAACTTTCAGAAACATCTCTAACATCTAAGTAGGTAAACATTGGGACAGAAAATATTTTAAAAGTATTTTAAATCAACACAAACACCTCTGTATTTCAGTATTTTGAAGAGTAATATTGCATGAAGTGAGGTCAACATGTGTTTAACAAAGATAGACGAATCATGATCTAGAAAAGTAGCCTGTGATGCCACCATGTAATAGTCATAACCTTTGCATCTCCGATCATGTATAATATGATTACACATTTACTCACATTAAACCTAGATAGTCAAATAAAAATACAGTATCATCCCAACTTTTAGAGTTAACATAAGCTTTCTAACACCTCTGGATAGCAGGGAAACCTGGAACTGTTAATTAAGGAAACACCCCTTTCTTCTCCAGTGAATATCCAATTCAGAGACTTGGTCCAGCTTGGGGTTGGAAATGCACCAGCAACTTTACTACTTTAACAGGTAACAGGTCAATTAAAAAGAAAGCAAATCCTGGATGTATTTATAGTTTAGCTCTCTATGGAGTCTGGGTTAAACAGCTCCTCTGAATGACCCGGTATTTCTATGGCAGTGCTCAGCTTTTTACAGCTTGAACTCCTGGCCTGGAGCAGCCAGGACCCAAGCGGATGAGGGAATGTAGAGCATCCCCACATGGTCTGGGCTGGACACCGCCACAGCTGGAGTGTGACTTGTTTGACCTGCACAGGTGACAGCAGCTTCCCTGAGAAAGGGGTCACTCTCCTTGGTCTTCACAGGGACCCTGTTTCTTCAGCGCCCCCGCAGGCTTCCTTGAGTTGGGATCCTGGTAGTGGGAGACTTGGGGCTGGTGAGGAGCCCAGGTGTCTGGTGTTTTTTCTTGCTGAATCTCTCCCTCCTCCAAAACCCACTAGGGCCCCAAAAGTGGACTTTTTTCTTATTTACATATTCATTTCAGAGTGTGTGTGTGTGTGTGTGTGTGTGTGTGTGCACGTGTGTGTTACACATAGCTCACTTGGCTGTGTGTGTTCAGAACTGAGATAAAATGCATCCTTCCAGTCCTGGTCTTAAAAGAAATTTCCTTGCTCTGTTGCTATTTAGAGGCAAAAAAGATATTTATTGGAGTTTCCTTATGAATATTTTATTTTTTAGCCACCAGGTTCCTATCAGCCATCAAAAGCATTTAAGTTTATTCAAAGTTTAACCCAAAGTAGCTACTAGCTGATCAAGCACACAAAAGGAGAAAATGACCACCCTGTCCCGAGCACCATTCCCTTCGGACTTAGATCTTGACCATGTGTGACAGGATCGTGCAAAGGAAACACCCCATCACCCCCCAGGAAGAGGTGAAACTGTCCTACATATCTCTGCCTCAGAGCTGACTCTGCTTCAACCCAAAGTTTCCATATGTTCCTTTGTACAGCTTCCGGTTTGCACTATCTTATATTTGAAACAGTCTAATATATCCACAATAGCCACATGCTATTTTTTTCATGTCCTTAAATTCCACTTATTTTAATTCTCTTTATCCTGCCAATGAGTAACTATAATTTCACAGTCATTTAGTGAAGCTTTTTGAAGTGTGAAGCAAGACAAAACATAAATGGAAAGTTAAAATTATTACTGTGAAGTCCAATCATACAAATGAAACTAGAAGTTAGAAAACTATTGTAAAGTATTGGAAGCCATGAAAGGCATGACCCACGTTAAAGCCAGTTAGAGGAGAGTAGACCTTGAGTCACGAGCTTCTATCTGAAAATGACCTTTGACTCAGATGCCGTACTAAGTCTTTATCCAGTTAAATGTCTCCTGTACACAATTAAAGGGAGAGCTATAACCTTGATTGGGGGAATGTTCTCTAAGGAGTTCTGATCTGTTGAAAGAAGTGCCATGCTATGCTCGCCCTTGATCAGGAAAGGCAATTGTATTCTGGATATAAATAGGTTCTTAAAGGTGACACAAGCACAACACCAATCACAACACCTCTAGGCTACAATTTTGTTTTCTGCATTTTTTATTTGCCTTGAGAGACAGAGTTCTAAAGCATTTCAAGAAGACATTTATTCTAACATATCTTGCATAATGGGAAGATAACTATATAATTAGAACGAATATTCATAGTCTAATTGGGATTTCATCACTAAACACTGTGGATTGGGTGACTTAACAAGAATTTACTTTCTCACAGTGCTACAGCCTAGAAAGTACAAGATCAAAGTGCACCAGGGTCCAGTGTTGGATGAAAACTTTCTTCTTCACTCTTAGATAATCACCTCACTGTGCTGTTCTCAAATGAGAGACAGAGATAGAGAAACAGCGACAGAAATTCCCTTTTCATAAAGCCACAGTCTTGTCATGTTAGAGCTCTACAAATACTTTCTAAAGAACCTATCTTTAAATAAGGTCTTATTCAGGATTTGTACTTAACATGAGTTTGTGGAAAACAATATTCAATCCATAGCATTAGTCAATCAATTACATTGCTTAAAATTATCTTTAGGATTGTATCATACCATATTCTACTGATACTTCTTGATCCAAGTAAAAAGTAAATAAATTAATTTATTGATCAAAAATGATAGAGCAGAATTCTAGTTTTACTGTTGATCAATGAACAATATATAAATGTACCACACCACCACGCTGCATCCAGAAAGAGGCACAATTATTATTTTCCAATTAAACAAAAGAAATTATAGCTATGCATACCACAGAGGAACAAATTTTTCTTGATAGTAAATACTTTAGTTTTCTGTCACAGACAATTTCTTCCTCCTCCTCCTCCTCCTCTCCCTCTTCTTCTCTTCCTTCTTCTCTCTCATTTTCAATCTTGTTTCTCCCTCAGCAGGCTTTACAAATGTAAAAGCCATTCTAAGCCAAAGGTTAGACACAGTCTTCGACTTCAGTTTGCCAGTCTCTGGTGGGGACAAAGGAAACAAAGCTAGTGTATATGCTTTTCTAATACAATGAAATTTTACTAGATACTTTCTATTTTCACTCCTTTGAACATCCTGGGGTTCTTTGCACCTGTACTGCCTAATCCTTCTTTGTTGGCTATTTTCAAGTTATATACAATTTAAGACAAAATTGAAGTTCTGCTTCTTCCAAGACATTCATCTAACCAGAGTAAAAGTAATATCCCTGTCATAAATATAGCTATAAACGTCAATAACAAACCACAACTCCAGGAACCAATGTCAGCTGCCTCATGCACACATTTACTAGTTTTATTGGTAATTTTTTCAGTATTTTAATTCTTTTTTATTTTAAAGAAAATAAGAAAAATAAAAACAATACAGAATGTCAAAACAATCAAATGTAATACACCATATCAACAGAACCAAAGACAAAAATCACATGATCATCTGATTAGATGCCAAAAAAGGTTTTTGATAAAGTCCAACATTCTTTCATGCTAAAAACCCTACAGAAAGTCAGAATCAGTGGTCTTTACCTCAATCTGATAATTGCCATCTATGACAAACCAACAGCCAACATCATACTACATGTACAAAAACTGTAAGCTTTCACTCTAATATGAGGAACAAGTCAAGGATGTCCATTATCACCTCTCCTATTCAATATAGTTCTGGAAACGTTAGCCAGAGCAATTAGACAAGAAAGAAATAAAAAGAAGGAGAATAGGAAAGGAATAAGTGAAATTATCATTATTTGCAGATGACATGATACTCCACATAGAAGATCCCAAAAACCCAACAAAAGACTTCTAGTATTTTAGTTCTTAAAGTCATACTACTCAAAGTCTCAACTTA